GAAAAGAGTGATTTTCAACTCGCAAACTTTTTCGAATCAACTGAAATCTTCACTCTTCGATTTTAGATAAGTTCCTGTTTAGTAAATAAAATATGTTCGAGAAAAGTATATGTATTCTCTTTTCGAATGCCAGTTTGAATAGAGATTTAAAATGTAGATTGTTGCAGTTTGAACGGTACCTAAATCAGTTACCTAAAACAGTTAATGGATATGAAAGCGTCGAGAATAACGCATCGACCGAATTATATCTAACAAATTCCGATCGGTAAAAATCGAGTATACTCGAGATGTCAAAAATCGCCGGTTCGCGTGATAAAACTAAATCGCTCTGTATACGGCGAAAACGACAACGACGACGACGTTCAAGTATATTCTGTGCGCGGGCGTGTTTTGTTTGCAGCTGCCGCGGAGGCGACGGCGGTGGTGCGGTAATTTACTCGTGACTCTTTTTTTCTATGCGTTTTCTCTGTAATTTTTTTTCTCCCTGCGTTTTTTCCCGCTTTTCCACCGCCGCCGCGACTATATGCGTTTATTATTAAAACTCCGTGTACCGAACGGTTCGTTTGTTTTTCATTTAAAACCACGGCGGCCAAAACGTCCCGCCCTCATCCAGACCAGAAACGGTTCTCTATATCCCTAACGACGTGTATCTCCGCGCCCGCCGGGGAACGACAGTATATTACGTAGGTAGGCGAGACGGTAAGTGTAATAATATAATACGGACCAGACGAGCCGTTTAAAAGCTTGAAAATTCCGGAAGCCCGGGTTTTTATTATGATACAACGATATAAAAGCTGTACATTATTATACGGATCGGGTAATTATTTTCGCATCGTCATGCGCCACCGCCGCCGCTGTCTCGTATATTTCGTAATGTATACAACATTTTTTAACGGATTTTTTTTTTCGCATAATAATATTATAATGAACGAATTTCGCGATGCGCACACCAGCAAACCAGCAAAGCACTAGTAATTTCGTCTTTCGTTTTTGTTTACACGTATTATTAGCTCCGTTCCAAATAAACAATTATTTACAGTTAACACACCGTTAAAACCTTTTTTCCTCTCTTTCTCTCTCTCTCACTCTCTCTCCCTCCCTCTCTCTATCTTTTTTTAAAAAATATAATTAAACTATTTTAATTAAATTTTTCCGTTTATATATATTATATGCAAATATTTTGAAATAATTCCCACCATTTAACGAAATAATACTGGTAAAAACCAACAATAATATACGAGTACAGCGTATATGGTATATGATGTGTGCATCGAGAATGATGAATTTCAAACCGGCTCAATTTTCTGTGCAAGAGTTTATTTAAAAAATAATAATAATAATATTTATTTTTTTAAACTAGGTGACAAATAAATACGTTTTCGAATATATATACGAGATTCGAAATTTTATACTCGAAAACCATGGTCATAAATTGGTTTCATAATACTGTGTTAATATAAAATACATGATAGTATATTTTAAATTTAACTTTTGTTCACAACAACTTTCGTTGTGAAGTAATTGAACCTCGCGTTAAAATCGTCTCGTGCTTTATCGTTATTATTTAGTCCATGTATCAGTTAAGTTTTCAGGTGGTTGTTTAACATTCCTACATTATTATATTCTTATAAAATATATTTTATCAGACTTAGTGCGTCATGGGCAAGGAAACATCTTATTATGTTTGTCTATAAATTTAATTAAAAATTGTTTTTTCACTACCATTTGGAATAAAAACCGTTGGACCCGTCATCGTGTCTAAAATCGAATTTTGGCAGGTCATATTAAAACCGACAAAACATTTAAGTTGAATGTCGAAGAATATCATCGTAGTGCATGAGCTAATGATGATCAAACCAAGAGAAAGATTAAGAATAAGAATAAGGCAGTTTTTTGTCTTGGTCTTGATCTTTCTGCATGATTATTCCAGTCTTATTTTAATCACACAGATTTTAATTAAATTAAATGTGTAGTTTTAACTTAGGACTATAAACATACAGAATCATATCTTGCTTTCCATTTGTAATTTCTCCGTAAACCGTTCAAATATAATAAATAATAATATTTTCCATCATTTCCGTACTAAATGATGTTTTCTGGAGAAACATGACTTATGATATGGTAAGTGACAAGGTACGTGATTATATAATAACAAGTTACTACCGAAATTCGTTATTAAAATATAGGAAAAATCACGAAAGTTTGTACACTAATTTTTGTACATTTATTTTACTTAAATATGGATGTAGAGGTGTCTAGAAAATCAAAATTATCTCGCCTGGTTGTGATACCGTGTCATGATAAAAAATTATTAACTTACTAACAACGATGAGGAACATAATGACATCAGTCGAAGTCAGATTTTAAAATTTGTAATTTTTTACGAGAATTCAATGGTTCATTTAAATATGAAATTTGGACTTGTTGCATTTATTTATTTCATCGATTTTTGGGTTTCCTCGGTAAAACCAGAAAAAAAAAAAAAGAAAAGGAAAAGGAAAAAGAAAAACGAATATAGTAGCCTATAACCGGTTAATCGAATTTGTTTTTTATTTTTATAAGATTTCTATCAAGATTTTCAATTATTTCAGATGCATTTAAATTTATTTTGTCCATTTTATGAGTGTATATAATTAAAGTTATACGTTTTTATTTTTATTTTTATAATTGATTGCACAATACGGATACGAATAATAAAAAAAGTATTCTCTTAAAAAAAAAAAAAAATGCTGGATGTTATATTATTTAAGTTGGTTTTTCTGTATAGATTCGCGGTTAGTGTTTGTAAAATTGAACGAAGACTATTTCTGATTATAGTGTAACACGCAATTATTATAATTACAAAAGGATTCGATAAAAATTGTAAGGTTCCATAAACGTTTTTATTTTTCAGAAGTTTATTATAATACAATAGGTATTTTTGTTGATAATAATATAGTCAAACGAGTGTTAAACGTGTTTTTTTTTATATTTATACAAATTTTAATTTCATTTTTTTTTTTTTTTTTTTGGTTTGTATATATTATAATGAACGTGAAGCACGTCAAAGTAGGAAATAACATTTTTAAATTGCAATTTCCAATGAAAATACATTATTCAAATAAAAAAATCGTCGGTAAGTTTTAAATAGTATAAATAGTTATTCCATTTATCATACAATTTTCGTATAATTTATTATTATTATTTATCTTTTTTTTTTTATTATTGCACTTAACTGTTTTGTTTGATTATTATAATTTTTTTTTGTTTTTATAAATATTTTATTAAGTAAGTATACGTTTTATTTTTAAAAATATAGACAATGTTAATTTATGAAAATATAAAAAGATTGTAAATACAGTTTCAAACATTTTTAACGTTTTGGAAAGATGGTAATAAAATACAAATTATAATAACATTCATTTGGGGGAAAAAATTACCATTAAAAGATATAATAAAATTAATATTGTTTAGTTATAATAATAATAATACAAATATGCTTAGTTTGAAAGAAGTCCCTATCATAGGAAGACAAAATAAGGGGATGAAGGATCTCCCTGATACCTCCAATTCGGTAATACAATTGAGTGAGTTGAGATGGGTGCAACTTGCATCAGAAGATCGGTCTTTCTGGTACTCCCGTTCCTGTTGCCCAGAAGGAGCCGTTCGTCTTATTCACGACGCCGTTTCTGAAATCGCAGATATAAGAAGATGATGCTTATGAATGCCAATTATATTATGATAATAAATCATTAAATAATTATTATGTCTTTGTTATTGTATACACATTTTGTTAATATATTTTGAACTCTATAAATGCAAAAAAAAATAAGACTATACGCTCAACTTTTATTTCTTTCAATAGTAAAAACAATAATTACTTACTTATCTATATAATACGAAAACTATTATAATCAGATATTCAACTTTTTTTTTTATTAGTGACGCGAAACGTCTGAATTGACTGACGCCTGATTACGGCGTCTTAACCTAACCTAATTTGTCTGCCATATATTGATATAATTATCAAAATACTGAAAACACCACGGAAAAAAAAAATTATCAAATAATTATAATAGTCGAACAATAAAATAGTAAATGTAACTATTTAATGAGTAAAATAACTAAAACGATAGATAATTATTATAATTTTATAATTTTAGTTGTTTATTATGGTAATGTTTACTATATTTTATTGTTACTACATATTTAAATGTTTGAATTAGGTATCTAACAAATATAGTTATAATAATTGTATAATATTTTACGATCGGTTGTGGACAATGTATCTTATTTTTCTATCCTACCATAAATCATGATGGGTAGTTATTAGGTATAGGCGTGTAATATGTTTTCTGTGACAGTTACAAATTCATTAAATTGAAAATATTGTTATATAATTATATAATATCTTATAATTATTATACATTATAGTTACCATAGCTTTAATAACATAACTATGTATAGTATTGACTACTAATATTATAGATATCCATATAGCAATAATATACGAGGGTTGTCCCAAAAGTAATGCACAGCGCGCTCTAGCTGTCTTGCAATGTGATATTATCAGCTGATTTTAGTATCAGTTTGTAGCTTGAAGTCTAACGAACACGTGCGTTTTCAGTTTTAGTTGTTTTAGTAAAGTATGATGATGTGTGAGAGCGATAACGAAAGTGAGAACAATTCGTCGGCTCACATTTCTGTTTTTGAGCAACGCGCATACATTAAAATCGAAACGATTCGTGGTAAAACAGTGCCTGAAATTCATGCCGCGTTAAATGAAGTGTGTGGAACGGATACTGTGGATCGTAGTACGGTGCAAAGATGGCATCAGCGATTCCGTGATGGTCGTATAAGTATTGATAACAACCCTCGCTNTACGAGGGTTGTCCCAAAAGTAATGCACAGCGCGCTCTAGCTGTCTTGCAATGTGATATTATCAGCTGATTTTAGTATCAGTTTGTAGCTTGAAGTCTAACGAACACGTGCGTTTTCAGTTTTAGTTGTTTTAGTAAAGTATGATGATGTGTGAGAGCGATAACGAAAGTGAGAACAATTCGTCGGCTCACATTTCTGTTTTTGAGCAACGCGCATACATTAAAATCGAAACGATTCGTGGTAAAACAGTGCCTGAAATTCATGCCGCGTTAAATGAAGTGTGTGGAACGGATACTGTGGATCGTAGTACGGTGCAAAGATGGCATCAGCGATTCCGTGATGGTCGTATAATTATTGCTAACAACCAGCAAACAAAGGTAAAACAAATGATGATTTTTGCTTACGATAAACTTAGGATAATTGTCACTGATCGAGTTCCAATTGGCAGTAGTGTAATTGGGGATTACTACAAAACATTCCTTGCCAAAAAATTGCGACCAGGAATGTTACAAAATGGTGTGTCCATATTGCACGACAATGCGCGGCCGCATATCAGTCGTCGCTCTTTTGGAGAAATATGGATGGGAACGCCTCAAACACCCACCGTATTCACCGGATTTAAGTCCCCCGGACTTTGATTTATTTCCAAAACTGAAGGAACCACGTAGAGGGATCAGTTTTTCCAACTTAGATATACTAAATGAAGAAGTGAGCCGAAGGATCCGTGAACTCAACAAAGATGACGTCCTATGCGGCATTCAAGCGCTCCCGAAACGATGGGAATCGTGTATAGACAAACAGGGAGATTATATCGAAGGTCTATAATATTGTATTTAGTTTAAAATAAAAACTTATTTATTCAGAGCAAATTGTGCATTACTTTTGGGACAACCCTCGTAATACACCTAATCATACTATTTTTTAAATGCAAAGAACTGTTTTGTTCTTTCCGTGGCCATTCATGATGCAGTTGATCCTTGGTGGTGGGCTATATTAGAATTTACGACCGTCGGGAATAAATCAGGATAAAAGGACGTAATACAATATTTTATTACATATATTTAGATACCAGACGAGTCAAGAGAAAATGTTTGCTATTTCGAACGAAAATTTGTTTTTCAGTATAATCGTATTATGTTAACAAACAAAACTAGATAATAGAATGAGATGATGGTACATCAGGTGTAATATAGTATATTTAATGTGTATATAATTATTGTATTGAAAGAAAGAAAAATGATGAGACTCAATCAAGAATTAAATGGGCGAGATAAATCTAATCAAAAATATACTGCGTCCGTGGAATCGTATTTTATTCCGCGTGGTTAGTGGGTTGGTCGACAAGACGATCTCACGAATCGATTTAAAAAAAATAAAATAGTAGGGGATCCTGGGTTGAATGCTGCCACTGTAGTAGGTGGATAGTGAGGAAGATGGGTCACAAGGTCATTTCATTTATATCTGTAAGCAACGATGAACCATTGCTGACGAAAGACGATTCCGAGCGCAGTTCGGTAATACATAATTTGAAGTGCCGTAATTTTTTTATCCTAACCCTCCTAGAAGAAAAATCGAAAGAAAAAGAAATGTAGAAAGAATATCTTGGCTGATGATTCTCCACGACTGGTATAATAAAACATCAATTGATTTATTTCGAGGATTTTTAGACAGGGACAGCATTTCCAATATGATATCCAATACCCGAAACGGGTAGGAATTTGAAGAAGAAGATACCCTTATTACTTTAATAACTATAATTCATGTATATAATTATGTATAATACGGGTACGGTTTTATTTTTTAATATTTGAATAAACTACCTATAATCAAAGTTGAGGATAAAAACCTTGAGTACTTATACGCAAATTGTTATGTTTCGTTCTGTACCTGCTTGCATATTCTGTGAACAGATTTTTGTATATAAATATGAATATGAATAAAGTCACATTTTATAATGGTGATGAGATATGGACTTGTTTTGAAATTAATTACCTGTTGGCGCTTGGTGGTTCTCAATAATCCAAGGAAACATTATTTGAATTGGTGTTATTAATGTAAGTCTCTCTCATACTCTGCGAACAAAGTCTTGCAACTGATAATGTAATATTAAAAATGTTATGTGTGATGACTGGTGGGTGGGTTAGCGAGTCACAGTTGTTTTAGTGGTGGGTGCATAGGTGCAACTAGAGCTCTATTTCTGGATGAGCTAAATTTTAATGATATCAGCGACCCGTGGAGGCTTCGCTCTACCACCCCCCAATATTAATTATCAACACTAACATTTATATTTATATTGCTTAGAAGTTTATTACGATACACACAATACAAATTAAAAATTCGTTATAATCAAAACTCGCAGCCTACTGAATAAATACCAAAGACTTATATCATAGATAACCGTGAATCATGATGAGTACGTATATTTACAAAATGTACGATAATAGTGATAATACAATAAAATTAACTGGATAACACTTAGAGTAATAAGATCATAGGTGCTGATAACATCTTATTTCTTACGTCTTAATATCTTACATATTACTAATTATATATCGGATTTGGGAATAACATTACGTTCAAAAACTGGGTGGGCTAAGCCCACCTAAGCCGGGAGGGGCTATTAGGCGCAACTAGGGGGGGGCTAGTTGTGCCTATGGGTGAGTGTGAGATATATATGTACATAATATATACAAACAACGGCTATATTTATATATTTATAAATAATAATTGAATTAATTTGTTATTATGTTATTATTAAAAATATATTTAGTTTTCCATCACATTACTACGTTATTGTTGTAATGTTACAGAAACATGTTTCAAAAATGTTAATATATTATTATTCGTTAACGTTACTGGGATGTTATATACAAATTGAAAATATTGGTAAAACTAAATTGTTAAACATGATGTTTTGGTAACGTTGCGGTGCGATGTTAGCACTGAAACTTAAATCTTATAGGACTGCAATATTTCGTAACTTAAAATGCACAGTGATTTTTAAGTTTGTACCTACTCTTAGCGAAACGAATTTTTAATCTAAAAATACGGTTGACTGAAAATCAGAGAGAGGCATTTAATTGATTTACCACACTACCCGTATGACCGTATTTCGACTTACGGTCGGTCATCCACAGTGTACTGTAAGAGAGAATAGAGACGTATAAAAATATATGATACACGGATACGCGTTCGTAATAATTCACGTCATTGTAATTTTACGACGGCTCTTTTAGTTTCACTCGATAGTCGTGCCAGTCGTTTTTTCATCAGATAAAACTGTGAAATTTATGCTCATTGCTCGCAGTAGAGTAGTACCTACGTATATACATATGTACAGTATACACTTAACTTACTGTACACACACACACACACACACACACATTTATATAACAAGAGAGACACGATCGAACGTCGGTCGTGAAGATGGTTTACGAGGTGTTTTAAGCTTCTACGCACGTTCGCGGCATTTATATTGGCGCGCCGAAACAACAAGATATCTAATAAGTTGAGACATCAAAAAACGAGAGAGTATAGGTATAGAGTTAGGTCGGTAGGTACGTTTACTGCATTATTTAGGTTAATATTATATTTTGTATATATGTATATGTGTGTATACATATATATATATATATATGTATATAGATGGATATGTGTACGTACACTCCTTGGCCGAAGACGGTGCCGGTGAAATTTACACGAAAACCTAATGTCGACGACGACGACGTCGCGGTCGTAATATTACCGTACACGTATATACGCATTATTATTATAGTGGTAGGACCTGCAGCGCACTCGTACGCGCCGCTAGTCCGGTATTAATTTTTAATACGCTCTCACACGCCGCCGCCGCGGCGATAATAATGCGTTTAATTCCCGCGCGAACAAACGGAAACAGTTTTAATAATACAACGACATTTTGCGGCGACACTCGCGCCGCGGTCTAAGACGATAATATTATGTCATATTAATATTTCAACAAAAACCTCGCGTCCTATATCGTATTGTTATGAATATCCGCGGAGACGTAATAGTATTGCACGCGGGGTGCGGAAAATGCCTGTTCAAAATCACAATATTTCGCACGAATAACGCATATACAACAGGTGAATATGATATTTCAAACTCATGATGGTAACCCTGAAATCAACAAAAACCGAACGGCGGCAGAGATGACCTAGAGAGCCGACTGCTGAAAATTTCGACACGTGTTTCGAATAAAGTACCGACGGGCAGAAATTACGCACATTGTGATGTACTGTTTTGGATAAATTTGTAGCGTTTGCCTAACCGAAAAGTATTCGAACATACGTATTCAACCGCTTTTACTATTCACTTTCACTCGGATACTTGACAGGCCCGTCAGTAAATATAAATACGAGTTTTATGTTGTCGGTTCCGGGGAAGTAGTGTCACAATCAACTTTGTACAGTTTTCAATAAAACCAAATTGCATTTTCAATACGCATTGGTAGACGTATACCATTCAGACTCAAAATAAAGGAAAACAAATTATATAAGACGAAATTATAAAAAAAATTCCGAAAATTTACTTAAGCCCTGGAACAATATAAAATAATGTAATATAATACTGGCGGATGGATACATTATTATTTCGTGTATTTTGCGTCGTCTCGGCGCACAATAATCGTATACGGCGCGGCATAGTGTCCCGGCTTTAAATTGATCGGTTTTATCTTAATTGGTCCTCCGGACCTTCACTTCTCCTCTATTCATTCTAAAGCTCGGTCGTAAATATTGCGTGTGTATATTGTGCACTGGGTTTGCGCGTGGCTAATGGAATTTTATGGAATCTCCCGGAGGTCCGCGCGGGAAATTACTTTAAAAGAAAGGGGATTTGAAAGAAAAGAAGACGAGAAAGATTTAAAAAATAATATATATCCGATGATTCGATAACCAGAAAGGTATATATTATGCGTGCGCGTGCGGTAATCATATAATAATAAACCGCCAAGAAGAATAATTCGGTGACATTTCCGTCATTCAGCCTCGTAGACACTTGTGTCGAAAAGTATCAACATTTTTTGAAATTTGTTTTTTAAAAAAAATTATGAAATACGCAGCTTTAAAATGTTACATTGTCTTTATTTTTAACCTCTTATTTTTCGGGGAATGAAACCATTATAGTATTTACCTATACTGTTGTTTAAATAGCATATAAAAAATATTTTACGTAAAAAATTCCATAAATAGATACAGTTTTTGTTTAAATGTATTTTTGTATTTACATTTTTTTATTTCCTTCAAATCACTGACGAGATATTTTACTTTAAGTTTGGTGTTTTTATGGATTGTAACAGAATAGTAGAGGTCACGCTATCATATAAATGACAGGGTACTATACTCTTTAACTTCAAAGCGTCAAACTTAAAAGGGGAATGTATCGTCAACGGGTTGACGGAAATTAAAATTTCCAATACCAACTTTGATTTAAAATTATACACTATAATTCCATTTATTTATGGAATGTTAAATATAGGTTAAAATTTGAAAACCAATAGTAGACAATGGTTACATCCCCAAAAATAAGGATGACAAAAAAAAAAAAAACGTTTATTTAATATTTTAAAGCTGCTTAATTCTTGAGTTATCTATGACACTAACACCGAAAAATGATTAATACTTTCCGAAATAATGTATGTTTTACATGATGTTGATCATTTTGTATAAACCTAAGCAATATTGTGAAACATCGCGAGTAAAACGAGTCAAGAACTGGAAAAGAAAAAAAAAATGATTACCTATTATTCGAATATAACTATTTGCACGTACGCTGTGTACTTTAATCCTATTAGAACGCGAGGA